AAACGTCAAGGACCGTCCAGTTCGAACGACACTCTCATAGGGGAATTTCATACTTAGAAGTCATTTCTCATTTCTCTCCCTCAATTCAATTTCCTCAACATTTATCTACGTAGTCATACAATCCATATCATATACATTTCCATATATGTCATACATCAGAACATACACAATCATATTTCATTTCCAACTCAAATCATAACGAACGTGCATGCGCATAGTAAACATACAAATTAAATTAAATAAGCTTCTCTTACCTCTGATCAGAACAATGAACGTTTCCTAGAGACAAATACGTTCTCGCCTGACTACAATTTCCTTCTACCTCACTTCCTTCACCTAACGCCACAACTCTTCACCAAATCAAACAACAGACGCAAAATGTTTCAGAATGAACTATGAACTCATGCAACCAGAACTTGGTTTGCATGTGCCGAGAACGAACGGCAAACAAGAGAACTTACCAGTTCCAAATCGAACCGATCGGTCAACACGAAGCCCTTGACGTCGGAAATGCTTCTCGGTGCCTGAATGATGATCGGAGAAGAGAAAGGGTGAGATTTGGTAGAGAGAATGGAGAGGTTTTTAGAGAGAAGAAGGAGAAATGAAAATTTTCAGAGTTTGAGGAAGAAGGTGCATGCAGAGAGTGGCTTGGATTTCTGAAACTCAAAGTTTTCCTTCCAACGTCAAAACGAGCGTCCGCTCATCTGTCGACACCTGCCTTCCACTATCTGATTTCCGAATCCTCTTTGCTTGACACCTGGCGTTCGTCGTCTGAATGTCGAACCTCCCTCTTGACACGTGAACTTCACTAAAACGAATCCTGAGTGCGTTTTAAATTGGCTATGACATTATTACTCATTAATTAATTGTGTAAACTTTTTACATAAATTTGTATTATTTGTTTAATTAAAAAATCAGTTATTTAAAAAAATATATTTGTTTTAAGATATCTATATAAACTCAATCCTAGCCGCATCAGAATGGGAACAACAGCACTTTCACGTGTTCAAACGAGTTACCTAGTCAATCGAGTCAACTCACCACCACCAGCAATGGCTGAATCCACCACCATTCAGAAATTTATTATGCAAATAAATTACCTATTAAAATACAATAATAAATTAAAGTAATTTTTCTAATCAAATTAAAAATTACAACATAAAAAAAAAAACAAACTTGCTCGTAGTCCCGGACAGTTAAGATAAGGAAGTTAATGCATGACGTGGCCTAACCAACCACCCTCGTCTCAACCGTCGGAGATAAGAATTCTACCTATTAGATATTTATATATATATTTATAATGAATATTCATAATTAAATTTAGTTAAAATATATTCCCCTCTTGTTTAGTTCTACCATGGAACAAACAATAAGCTTATATATTTATGTAATTAAAAAAAGTCAGTTTATTTTATTTAATGTTTGATTTAAAATATTTACATAAACACAACCCTATCCATATGAGAATATCATCGGGAAAGTAGTTCAAAAAATCTTCTCATTGCTGCCACTTCTTAACTTGCTCGTTTTACTCTCCGACTCACCGTGCCAACCGAGTCCAACTCACCACCACAAGCAATGGCAGCACCCACCAAACCAACCATTCCATGGAAGCTCCGCGTAAGACATCTCTGCTTTCTCTCCTTCTCAAAGCCTCCCGCCGCTCTAACGGCACCGTCAACCGCCGTCTCTTCAACCTCTTCGACCCCCAGCTCCCTCCTAATCCAAACCCTATCGACGGCGTCACCACCTCCGACGTCACTGTCGATGCCACACGCAACCTCTGTTTCGCCTCTTCTCCCCCACCACTTCGCCCCTGCCGCCACCCTTCCTGTCGTCGTCTTCTTCCCACGGCGGCGGCTTCGCGCTTCTCTCCCCGCCTCAACCAGGTACGACGCTTTCTGCCGCTCCCTGTGCCGCTCCATCACGCCGTCATCATCTCCGTTAATACCGCCTAGCCCCCGAACACCGTTACCCTTCCCAAAACGACGATGGTTTCGACGTCGTTAAATACCTCGACGAAAACGGCGCCACTTTGGGTAACGTTGGTAAGTGCTTTTTAGCGGGTGATAGTTCGGGCGGGAACACAGCGCACCACGTGGCAATTCGGGTTTGCAAAGAGAGGCTCCGATTCGTGAGAGTAATCGGGTTGGTTTCGATTGAACCGTTTTTTGGAGGGCAAGAGCGAGTCGAATCAGAGATCCGAATCACGCAAGACCCGTTGGTTTCGTTGGATGCAACCGATTGGTATTGGAAGGCCTTTTTGCCCAACGGGTCGGACCGTGACCACGAAGTGGTTAATGTGAGTGGACCAAATGCGGTGGATATTTCCGGTTTGAACTATCCAAAGACGCTTTTGGTTGTGGCGGGTTTTGACCCATTAAAGGATTGGCAAAGAAGATATACTGAATGTTAAGAAAATCGCGTAAGGATGTTGAAAAATTGAATACTCCCGCAAATGATCCATGGGTTTCACTTGTTTCCATTGTACCCGACGTTTCTGAGTTTCTTTCTCATGTTAACCATTTCATTGTCAAACAAGTAGCTGGTAGTTAGAGTTCTGTCACGTTTGATGCTGTAATATTATAATTATAATAAGAAAGATTTTATTTTCTTGTAATATTATGATTTTAGTGTGAAAGAAAAAAGATATTTTGCATGTGTATGAAATAAAAAGACAAAAATTGGATAGACTTATGAAATGGACATTGTGGTCGGATAATTACATTTTTCTACCCCCAAAAGTGCATCTGCGTCTGCATCTGCATCTCCGGCTGATAATAGCGACACCACCAATTAAATAATTGGTGATTTTTCTATGACCAACTACTGTATTTTATTCTTGGATTATTGATGTAATTAATTAAGATATGCTAAGTAAAATTCAGCACAAAACACGTAAATAAATTATGAACATATTTACTCCTTTTTTGTTTTATATTTTTTGGATGAAATATACTTTATGAAACTGAACCAGAAGCTACTGCATTTGATATTGACTTGTATGAATAAGTCAGTAACTGTGGGTTCCCGATTGGATGCATGCTTTTGCTTTTCAATTGGGGAAAATTAACGTTCTATTTGGAATTTATTATTTAAGTTGTTTTGATTCATGTTTTGATGGGGATGCATAAGTTTAGAAGTTATTGTAGTGTAACTTCTTTATCAAACATAAACCCTAACCTGATTTGTGGTTTCCAATTTCAGTTTCAGATTTGCAGTATCCAATTCGCGCTTCAGATTTCAACACACTTCCTCCATGATGATAAATCCCAAATTACCAATTTCTCTGTAACTCCTCAAACCCTAACTTCTGATTTCTTAACCTCAGTAATATTATCACATTTATCCTCTCACAGCCACGTATCACCCTCTCACAGCCACGTATTACCCACACACAGCCACGTAGCTAATTTCAGTCCACCCTGTCAGCTGCTCCGTTAAAAACTCAACGCCGTTTCCAAAAAGGACTTGATTGCACACTTTTTACAAAAGTTGGGACCACATTGAACTTCTAAAAAAAGGTAGGACCGATTTGAACATTGGCCCCCTTTCGAGGGACCAAAAGAGGTATTAAACCAACAATTAACTACTCAATAATTAATCGGTAAAGACAACCATGAAGTAGTTAAAGAATAATCAATAATAATAACAATTATTGATTGACACTTAATAGAATAATGAAAGTTGTTTATTAGTAATGGGTCAGACCTAAGGGTAAACTCATTTTAAATATATGTTTGACAAGAAACCTAATGGTAAGCTCATTTTAAATATATGTTTGATAGGATAGGAGGGTCAGGTAACTGATTCTAAGTACTCATTTTTATTAAACATTATTACATAAAGTCACTAACTGGAGCGTAAGAGTGCCTTTGATAGATACTCTCTCTCACAACTTAGACAAGAAGGAGAGAGAGAACATCAGAACTTGGATAATAGAGGACCATCAGAAAACCCCTCAATCTTCATAATAACTTTGTGTTTTTGCTGAAATGGGACGAGGATCTCCGCCGAACGTCTTCCAGTCTCTGTCGAACGATCTCCTGGCTCTAAGCTACGATCGGTCTTGTTAATCCTGCATGCCGAGCGTTCTGTCTCTCCTAGTTCTGGTAACCGAGCACCGAATGGGGGGTGACCTGCAAAAGACACTTCGACGCTCAAGTCAGAAATAGGTCTTATAGTTTTGTCATCAGTTTAAAAACGTAAGTTTACCTCGAACCTAAACCCTTATCTATAGAGTTTAAAGGAATCTGACCAATTAATTTAACTCTTAATGGTCATTAATTCAAACCTTAATTGTTTAACCGTAGCCGTTATCACATTTATTGTGCCTTAACTCTTGCTCCATAGTTGTAGGGACTGAACGACTGAGAGATTTTTTCCTGCACGTTGTCTGTTCGGTCGGTGCACCTTTACCACTCGGTCGGCCATGAGCCCAAAGTGACTTAGAGGTTCTCTTGTACCTGTGCTTTTCGGTCGGCTATGAGTCGCCTTAACTCTGCTCAATGATTGTCGCGACCGAACAACTGAGAGACTTTTTCCTGACCGTTGTCCGTTCGGTGGGTGCACCTTTACCACTCGATCGGCCATAAGCCAAAAATAACTTAGAGGTTCTCTTGCACATGTATGATTCGGTCGACTATGAATCCGAGTAAGAGATCTCAACATCTTAATCGAAATACAAATAATGTGATTCCATTCCATACAAGACCTACAAAAGAATGATCATATTAAATATTTAAAGCATATGACAAAGTATTTAGAAATATAATGATGTATAGGCCGAAAGTGTATCTATCATCAAGGGTGGAACTCCAAGGCATGAAGTCTAATTTAGGGAAGGACTATTTGGACATATCCTGTTTTAACTGAAAACACCAAAATACCATTTTTCATATTTGTAATAAGCCACTTTGATCAAACAACCTATGAAATGGAAGCTTTTATTCTCATAAAGTGATGTGATAAATAACGACCACTTACCTTTTACAACAGAAAAATGAAATAAGTGTCGAGTTGGCGAATGTTGTCGTTCTTCTGCAATTTCCCCATTTGAAGCTTTTCTCATTCTTGGAAACGCAGAAACGACAATGGCGCTATCCAAAGGCTCTGAAACGGCAAAACCCAAACCGGTTATACCATGGAAGGCGCGCATTTCAATAACCTTTATTTCTACGATTACCGACGCTGCGCGTCGCTCTAACGGCACCATTAATCGCCGTCTAACGAACCTTCTCGATCTCAAGGCACACGCCAGCTCCTCACCCGTTAATGGTGTTACCTCTAAAGATGTCACCATTGACGCCGAAAACAAACTCTGGTTCCGAGTATTCGCCCCCGCAGTCTCCCCCGCCGCCGGCACCCTCCCCGTCGTCGTCTACTTCCATGGGGGTGGCTTCGCGTTCCTCTCGCCGGACTCCCTCGGCTACGACGCCGTCTGTCGCCGAATATGCCGCCACGTCCCCGCCGTCGTTGTTTCTGTCAACTACCGCCTCACACCGGAGCACCGGTACCCGTCACAGTACGACGACGGTGAGCTCTTCCTCCACTTCCTCGACGAGAATCGCATGGTACTGCCGGAAAACGCTGATGTGTCAAAATGTTTCCTTGCCGGCGACAGCGCCGGGGCTAACTTAGCTCACAACGTCGCAGTTCGGGTCGGGAAGATGGGAATCCGGGAAAACGAGGTTGGGAATTCAGGGCTTCGGAGAATCCGGATCGTCGGGTTGGTGGCGATCCAACCTTTTTTCGGTGGGGAGGAGCGGACGGAGGCTGAGGTGAGGTTTGAAGGTGCGCCGCTGGTGTCAAAGGAGAGGACCGATTGGACGTGGAAGGCGTTTTTGCCTGACGGGTCGGATCGTGACCACAGAGCATGCAACGTGAGTGGGCCGAATTCGGAGGATTTGTCGGGTTTGGATTACCCGGATACCGTTGTTGTTGTGGGTGGGTTTGATCCTTTACAAGATTGGCAAAGGAGGTTTTACGAGTGGTTAACAAAATCGGGTAAAAAGGCCCAATTGGTTGAGTATCCAAAGATGTTTCATGCTTTTTATATATTTCCTGATTTGCCCGAGTCTTCTCAAATGATCACACAAATAAAGGATTTCATGAATAAGAAACTCGCTGAATAGAATTGATTAATGTTGTTATTCATTTGTTTTTACAGTGGAGGTGGTCGTAGTGAAATAATACCATATGAGCATGCTTTGTTTAAGAAAATTGTGTTTGTTGTAAGTATTCAATATTAACATAATGTCAAGTATTTAGTTCATTTATAAATTCATTTTTTATATGAGGATTTTTTATTGACGTATTTTTTCTTGTTATATGTGAAAATTTTCTTGTGATTTTTTGAAATTCAAATCAAAACATTCAATCAATGTTGTTTACCTAATTCTATAAAATTACCTAGTTTTAAATCTAAGGATGAAGAATCTCTAACATTACATATAGAGATTAATATAATGTGAGAAATTTAGTGTATTCAATATTAACAAAATACTAAGTGTTTATAGGAATGTTCATTTATAAATTCATCTTCTAAATGGAGAGATAAATATTTTTGACAAGTTAGATCAACTAAAAAAAATAGGCTATGGTGATATTGTGTTAGTTGGAGATGTATTTTTTTTTCTTTGATATTATGGTGCACCTAATTATTAATATAGTAAGAGAAGTTAGAATTTGTGGTTTAGTATTCTTACGATGGAAATACCTACCATATTGAGCGATAAATAAAAATATTAAAAGGCTATGTAAATAATCAATATGGTCCTAAAGCATCAATCGTTGAATGATGTGTTGAGGAAGCTATTGAGCTCTATATATAAACTACTTATTAGATATTGAAGCTATAGGAGTACCTAAGTCTCGTTACCATGGAAGATATGTTGTTAAGGATACTTGAAGTGCAAAAATTATGATTCTGAATAGAGGTGAAGTTCTACGAGCACACACACACGCACACGCACACACACGCACACACACATACACAAACACACACACACTGAACACACCATAACCTTTTTAAAGTGGTTCAAACAACAGGTTCAAGTTGATCATACAACTTCTAATACATTTAACTGACTATCAAGTAAGCCAAACTTTGATGTCATATGTTAGAGTGAGTATGATATAAATAATTATACACTTCACATAAAAGAATAACATGAAAAAAACACCACACAAAATAGTGGAGTAATGGTGAAGGTTGAATCAATGCATTTCTCGAGTTTAAGGATGAAAATTTTAATATAACATTAATGTTCTATTTTGGTGTGATTGATGATATTTGGGTGATAGATTACATAAGTTTCAAAGTACTTATTTTTAGATGTAAGTGAGTTTATGGTAATATTGACATCAAGATCGATGATTTGCGTTTTACATTGGTTGAATTAGAAAAGACATGCTATATTGAAAAGCCATTTATCATGGCATCTCAGGCAAAACAAGTATTTTATGTCACTAATCCCGTAAACAACAAATGGTCAGTGGTGCTCTAAGTTAGAACAATGCATGATACTAATGATAATGACGAAGTCATTCTTGATATTAGTGAAACTCCATCTTTCTCATCAAATATGTCAACCTTAAATGTTGATAATGAAGTAAATGATGTATATGCAATACATGATGATCACCATGAAGTGTTATGGAAGAACATCCCAACTTGACAATGTATAAATTCAAATTTTAGATATATGTCAAATTATATGTTTATTTTATCATTAATTCTTTCTAAAAATTATGGTTTGAATAGGGATATCTCTAGTCACATACCATCTGGTGTCTTCCCTACCTTCACAAAGTGGAGATGAGATTCATAGACCTACCCAAAATAAGGGGTAGGCGTGAGACTAGGTTGAGAGAGTTGACAACTACTTGCAACGCTGATCATAACTTACCCATATGTTTTGATATGTAAACCTGTAAACCTTTGGGAGAGAACAACACAAAATTCGTCAGTTATGTTGCACTGCTCAGTAGAAGCAAGGCATCCGTTATTAGTGATGATTGGGACCATGTGTAAGAGTGTGTGAAGAATTATATATGAGTATCCTAGTATGAAATCTTAACTTTTATCATTTATCGTGAACATATATAATTTATATTTAACATACGTCATTGATTCTTATTGTGCAGGTCAGATATAAAGTTCCAAACACTAATCTATTAAGGACAAAATGGATTTCATATGCTGGAGAACGATGGAAGAATTTTAAGACTGTGTATATAACTTGTTAAGGAGAAGCGATTAGATACTACCTTTCAGGTAAATTAATATTATATGTAAGTTGAGCTATTTATAATAACATATTGCTAATATGATTCATTCTTTATAATTTGATGTCATAGGCTAAGAGGAGAGTTGCACAAGAGATGAAAAAAAAATCTCCCACATTCATAGATTCTCTCGTGGGGTTATGAGAAATTGGACCAGAAGATGATTAAAAAGACAACTGCCTCTAATCCTAGTAGGGCCTTAGATATGAGTATGATGGCTCGTCTTCCTCGTCATGATACATGGAAAAGAGCTCTCCAAAGACCATCAAGGGAGTATACATTTGAGGAACCAATGGTGCATTGTAAGTACCTCAATGTTAACAAATTATTAACATACTTTCTAATCTTAACTTCAAAATTTTAGATTGTAGGATGAGTTGTGTTGTAGAGCGCACATGGTATCTTCACTCAACAAGGGTGTGAGGACATGTTGACGGTTGCCATTGGTCGTCCAAAGCAACATGGATGTGTTTGTGATATTGGGAATTTTGTTGGTACCTATAAATGTTTCAGCCTATCAACTCATCATAGTAAAACCCATGTCATTGAGGAAGTTCTCAGGTCTATTAGAGAAGAAATGAGATAAGAGATGAGAAAGGAGATGAGCGAGATTAAGAAGTATTGTGATATATGAGCATAATTGAAGAATGAGTACTTTGATATACAGACACAATTATTAGTAGATGAGTGAGCAGAGTTAGCCTCTCCTGTAGGCAAACCTAAGAATCCTCATTAACAATATTCTCTTATTTGTATAAGCACAAAGTGTAGTTGTAATGTTTCCCCTCAAGAGGCTTCTCCCATTGTTGATACATACTACAAGTTGTTTAATGATGATGCCCTCCAGTGCTTAGTGGTTTTAGGTAATTTGTCTAATTATATTATTTGACATGTACTTGCTTGTTGAATTATATTCTTCGATCTATTTTACAAACATTACTTGGTTTCCTTAGGTAAAATGTATTCAATAAGGTCAACCATACACCATGAAACCATTAAAGTTGATATGATGATGGTGATGGTTGTAGAGGTTCGAGATGCTACTACTCGAGTCCCTATGCTCACTCAGGAGGTTGAGATAATGGGGCAAGCCCTTGAAAATTTTATCCTTTAGTCAATTTAATTAGCAAAAGCAGTTGCAAAGGAAGTAATTGCTCTTAGTTGTTTTAATTAAACACTTTTTTTTATTAATGTATATTAATCCTATTTAATTATTTAAATATGTATACCAATTTAAAGCACAAGAGGAGAAAGATGTGAATAAATCGTTGCCACAACCGCTACAGTGGCCACAATTGTCACAATAGATGATTCTAGAACAACTTGGTGCAATGAAAATGAAAATCTCCCTGCCANTTGGATTACCCGGATACCGTTGTTGTTGTGGGTGGGTTTGATCCTTTACAAGATTGGCAAAGGAGGTTTTACGAGTGGTTAACAAAATCGGGTAAAAAGGCCCAATTGGTTGAGTATCCAAAGATGTTTCATGCTTTTTATATATTTCCTGATTTGCCCGAGTCTTCTCAAATGATCACACAAATAAAGGATTTCATGAATAAGAAACTCGCTGAATAGAATTGATTAATGTTGTTATTCATTTGTTTTTACAGTGGAGGTGGTCGTAGTGAAATAATACCATATGAGCATGCTTTGTTTAAGAAAATTGTGTTTGTTGTAAGTATTCAATATTAACATAATGTCAAGTATTTAGTTCATTTATAAATTCATTTTTTATATGAGGATTTTTTATTGACGTATTTTTTCTTGTTATATGTGAAAATTTTCTTGTGATTTTTTGAAATTCAAATCAAAACATTCAATCAATGTTGTTTACCTAATTCTATAAAATTACCTAGTTTTAAATCTAAGGATGAAGAATCTCTAACATTACATATAGAGATTAATATAATGTGAGAAATTTAGTGTATTCAATATTAACAAAATACTAAGTGTTTATAGGAATGTTCATTTATAAATTCATCTTCTAAATGGAGAGATAAATATTTTTGACAAGTTAGATCAACTAAAAAAAATAGGCTATGGTGATATTGTGTTAGTTAGAGATGTATTTTTTTTTCTTTGATATTATGGTGCACCTAATTATTAATATAGTAAGAGAAGTTAGAATTTGTGGTTTAGTATTCTTACGATGGAAATACCTACCATATTGAGCGATAAATAAAAATATTAAAAGGCTATGTAAATAATCAATATGGTCCTAAAGCATCAATCGTTGAATGATGTGTTGAGGAAGCTATTGAGCTCTATATATAAACTACTTATTAGATATTGAAGCTATAGGAGTACCTAAGTCTCGTTACCATGGAAGATATGTTGTTAAGGATACTTGAAGTGCAAAAATTATGATTCTGAATAGAGGTGAAGTTCTACGAGCACACACACACGCACACGCACACACACACGCACACACACGCACACACACATACACAAACACACACACACTGAACACACCATAACCTTTTTAAAGTGGTTTAAACAACAGGTTCAAGTTGATCATACAACTTCTAATACATTTAACTGACTATCAAGTAAGCCAAACTTTGATGTCATATGTTAGAGTGAGTATGATATAAATAATTATACATTTCACATAAAAGAATAACATGAAAAAAACACCACACAAAATAGTGGAGTAATGGTGAAGGTTGAATCAATGCATTTCTCGAGTTTAAGGATGAAAATTTTAATATAACATTAATGTTCTATTTTGGTGTGATTGATGATATTTGGGTGATAGATTACATAAGTTTCAAAGTACTTATTTTTAGATGTAAGTGAGTTTATGGTAATATTGACATCAAGATCGATGATTTGCGTTTTACATTGGTTGAATTAGAAAAGACATGCTAT